TCTTTCCCTGTTGAGAAGTTTGCCATCTGCCACTAAGACTCCACAGAAATCTGACACCTACTGAGATTTTCTTAGCCACTACTAAGTACATGGCTATTGTCAATTGAATGTCAATTGAATCCCTCCTTTTAGCTTAAAAATTAAACCCTTACATCAAGATTTAGTGGTTTTCTAAGAAATCTGCTTTAGTTCTATCATGGTCCTTTGGGTTCATGTAGAGTTACCATTCAAGGCCCTGCAACCTGCACTCTGCAGAAGGACAATCAAAACTGTTTTGAGCACTAAAGTCTAGGAACTTTCAGCTCTTGACTTGAAAAAAGTTAATGTGGAGTCTGACGTGTAAAACATCAGGCTTCTCCTTGAGAAAGAGGAACAGTTTCACAGCCCCCATCACCTCAAACAAGCTGCTGAAAGGAAAAAAGAAGAACCAAAACAAACCACAAACAAACAAAAAAAACCCAAACCACAAGAAAAAGGCAGAATACAACTTCAAGTAGTGCAGTCATTGAACTGAACAGCAAACTACTGCTTGCAAAAGGTCCCAACCAATTTGAAGAGGCCTCTACGTAGTTCAGAGGTCTCTGCCTCGGTGCCTCCACATCCCATTGTAGGACAAGAGCCTACTGGATCAGCAAGCTTCTACATCAATCTACCACAGAGCAGAAAATGCAGGTTCTTAGTGTGTGAAAACATGCCAAAAGAGTATATTAGTGGCAGAAATTCAATTAGATTTGCACCTAGAATATTACTTTGAAATAAACTAAGAAGCTGCTTTCCAGAAAGAAATGGTGACGAGAGGCAGAACATTATGAGAAAAAAAGTGACCAAACAGTCACCTAGAGAGCTTGTTGGCTCACATTTAGTTTCCTTAAAAAAAATCTGAGCAATCACTTTAGATACAAATAGTCCTATTTAATACTTTAGTTTTTGAACATTTATTTATGCAGAAGCTACGTTACCTGCAGTTTAAAGGGCAATTCAAGACATACTATCACTCAATGTACCCATATTATTGGCTCACAGAATTTCAGTGTAACGAAACACTTAGTGCCCATTTCAGATTTTCCCCAGCTGTGACAAAAATAGCATGCAGTTTCCAGCAAACACACACAAAGAGAGAAGCTTCCTGCTTTGACAGAGTAACTGTTACTGCTTTCAGTCAAAGCTAGAGTTATTATGTCAAGGAGTACACTTGCCACTTAATTTAAGAGAGAAATGAAGCAAGTGTTTAATTGTGAAAAATTACTTCTTTTGTCCCATTCAGGTTTTCACACTGCACACACCCACTCGACCACTGATTTTCCATAACACACACACACACTGACTGGGGTCTTCTACATCTCTGAAAACAAAAAAGGACAGATGGCTTGAAAAAAAACCTAGAAGCAAGGATTTTCTGCAGCACTTCGTAGATATTTTTACTTTCAAATACCACTACAAGCCAAAAACCCCTTACTGAGTAAGCTTTGCTCTGATATGATTATTATTACCATAGTTTGATTAGTAAAAGGATCTGTGTAGTTGATTCTCTGAGTGGTGCACTCAATGTCTCCTGGCTGACCTGGATTTATCAGGGGTGGAATGTGATCGTAGTAGTGATGCTTGCAGCTAAGCAGCTGAGCCTTGCCTGGGTAAAAGGCAATACCTGTTTTGGGAGAAGAAACATTGAAGAGAGACAATTTCTTTCTCAAGTACATAGATTTTAATTCTGGGATTTAATCCCACACGGTCCTGAGCTATCCTCAAGATTCAGCAAAACAATCAAATTAAACCATGTGCTTCAGCCACTGCCAGCTGCCTCAGGACAGAATCCCCACAATGCACTGAAAAACTCAGTGTTCATATTCTGTTACAACAATTCAAGGTTCACAGAAGCTACTATATTTCCCAAGTCTTCCCACAAGCCAGCAGCCAATAACATCAGTCCCTCTCATCCCAAATGAGACGAATGTGTAAAGTAAGTCAGGAGACTCCTGAAGTCAAATGGGTCACTTAGCACATCAGCATCTACATGTTTTCAGATATTATCATTTAACATGTTGAATTTTAATTGGAAATAATGTATGTACTATACATGACAGATCAAAGATCCCTGGCTGACCTAAGAGAAGTGAAAATATGCTCTTCAGAACGTGTAGCATCTTCTGTTCACTGAGTACAATGTCATGATAAAAATCAAAGCCATCTGACATAACTACCTGCTATAATCCCTTGTTACTTAAGATCACTGAGTAGGTAGGTTACTACTTCACCTGTATGGCAATTCATAGATACCATAAACCTACTGTTTCAGACCAGTGGCAGGCATTAAAAGAACCTCAGTCACCTCAGCTATAGAAGGCCAGCAAAATACAAGGCCCAAAACAAAAAGTCCTCTTATGCCACATACACCACATTTATTAATGGCAACAGACTTGCTTGAAAATAATCTAGACAAACTATCAAAAAAATCATGATTTGCATTACTAGGTATGATTAACTTGCACAACTGAGATGACCTGTCTGCCAAAACGTGAGACATCAAAGCAGTCAGCACATCAGTCTAAAAATGCTGTATCCCTTTCTTCAGTGCTACATGCTTGCAGCTTGCCATCTCAGCACTTTAACAGAGCAATGAAGTGAAGGGCTACTGTAATTTAGGTTCTCCAGTCTGACAGGGGTCCCTGATGATACCTTGCTCTGCTTCTTTAAATGACATTTTCATCTTGTTGCTGTATGAAAAGGTCACGTGGAGAGAGAAAAAAAAACAAAACAACCAAGCTGCTCTTGCAGTCAGATCCATATGGACCTACCTACAGAGCTGAGCCTAACAGACCACACAGGAATACAGAAAAGCCACCACAAGAATATAGCAACAACATGAAACGCCCACCTGTCAGCACAACTACTGGAGTGTTTGTTTGTAAAGTGTTGTTACACTTCAAACAAAAGTGGGTGTTTTTAAAATTGGAAAATTACCTAAGACCATTCAAGCTGCACTTGCTACCACAGCTCTATTTATGAATGATTACTTGCTAATTTTAAAAAATAATAATGATAGAACTCATTATTCAAAAACACTCCTGTGGTGTAATCCCTCCCCACAAACTGCAGCAGTTTTCTGGTGCCACACTGCATCTTTATGCCAACACTGTTCCCTGCAGTCACCTCACATTTTCATTGCCTACTGATGTAATACCAAGCTGTAAACAACACAGTACAGAACCAGAGAGTGGCCCCGTGGTTGTTTTGCAGTCAGTTTGAGAAATTCACCTTCTTTCCTGTCAGCTGCATCTCCCTGTCCAGTGCAGCACTGAGGTCCTGACACACATCCTATGTGCTACCTTGTTTGCACGACACAGTTCGGGAATATTTCCAAAGTATTTTCCTTCTTTCCAGAAAAAAGGACTCATTCTAGAGTCTGAAAACCCTTCTTATGCAACCCTACATGTTGCATAATGCTCCACAGCTGCTGTCATTCATGTTAGTAGCATGAAAGCTTCCAAAATCTCCCTATCACATTAACATTTCCATGCAAGGTAAACACAACACAGATTAAAAAACAGGAAGTGAAAAACCAGGGTCAAAGCACTACATGCACTCTGAGCCCTGGAGAATCAACATCAAAAATTGAGAACTACCTAAAATAAATGTAACAAGCAAAATGGGTTAAATTGTTTTTCACCAGTCTTACCAGGTGCATCATACAAGGACACCTCCTTGTAAGAGACAGACATCACTGGGTGCTTGAGCTTCTCCCTGAAGTCACTGATGGTTTGGTAGACAAGGAACACAGCTACAGCCATGAGCAGCAGATAAATAAACAGGAGAATTACTGAAAAAACATTCTTTAGGCAGGTCTTGCTGAAACGCAAAGAAGGGGCAGTGGTACCCAGTTCACTATCTGAAACCAAACAGAATATGGATTAGGACTTTAAAATACAGATTTGGGCTGAATTTAGATAGTGTTCATTTAAAGATCAAATACTTCAGAGAAAAGTAAACCTCAAAATCAGCTTGATTTAAAAAAAACACAACTATTTCTGGTCTTGATGATCAGTTAGACCAATGCTTCCTTCTAAAGCACAAGGCCTAATCACCCAAAGACTGTGCCTCTTTTTCACAAGTAGAACTTGGCATCCAACTTAAGGACATGGCAGGCAGGAAACAAGGTTTATTTTTAAGGACAACTCAGAAACAAAGTCCAAAGTTCATAAGAAAAAAAGTCTCTTGGTGGTCAATCCTCCTCCAGGAAAAAACAACTCCCTTCCGCCCTCTCAGTCTTACACACTCAGCAATGCACCAGCAGAGACTTTATATTCCAATTCTGCATTTCAACTCTACCATGGTAGAATAGATATCTATTACCTCTCATTTTGGGAGTCTAGATCGTAGCCTCTTGTGCATACTGCAGAAACTTTGACAAGAGGACTCTTCCAATTACAGGTAGAAAAGTGCTGACCCAATCTCTCATATATTCATTGCCTTCAGAGCTTATTCTCTAAAGATCTTCACACTGGTCTGGTCTCACTTGGACACTGACACTGCTTTCCCCACACTACTTGCATTTGCCTGTTCTTCTGGCAATACATGCAAGGAAAACGTTCACCTACTCTTGAGTTTTGTTTTCAGAAGTGCAATATAAAAATAAAGGCCCCATCCAAACCCCCACACAGAAGTAGCTTATCAGGTTCTTAAAGTGGGTAACTTCTGAGTCCATGGGTCTCACCTGGTAAAATAACAGAGCTGGAATCTTCATGAACTTCCATCTCTCCTCCTCTCTCATCTGTTGGGTTTTCAGGTACTCGCTCCACATCCTCACTCAGCTGTGTAGTTAAAACAGTGGTTCAATTTCCAAACATGCTCTCACCTTGCAATTGCTGTCATTTCTATGGTACAAATAGGAGAGGCTCCAACTAACCAAACAAACAACAGTGTGCCCTCAGTCCAAGAGCACCCAACATCTCTTACATTTGCTCAGAAGAGCCACATTTACTTAGACCTAGAGTTAAAAATTAAGTGACTTGCATGCTGCAAAATGAGAAAGATGGCACATTAAATTTAACCTACTTCTATCCTGCTGCTTCAACAATAACATCACCTTCTCCTTCAAGATCAAAGTAATTGTTTCTCTGACAGCTTCAGCTCACTCTAAACCCCCAGGTAGGACAATGCTCTCTGAAATAAGCAGGAACTTCATTCTGTCAGTCAAGAATATGCTTTTAGGCACAAACAAAGAGCACGTAAGAGCAAACAGAGCATTAGCACTCCTTACTGAAGAGCTGCATCTTCACCCGTGCTAGGGCCAGTAACCCAAATGCAGTCTCAGCCTCACAGGCAGGTGCTGGGTCATTACAAGACAACACTCAAACATTCCTACATTTCTGGTACTCATTTGAGCTCACCATACATATTATTATATATTAGTGGTTATGCAACTAAATAGTCTTCCAGTGTTTCTAAAACAGCAACAGAGACCAGATGTTTTCTTGTTTTGCTGTTCAGAGCTCTGTGCTCAGGCTGCCAAAACACTTCTGTCAAAGTCAGGGCCCTGTCAGATCAGACAGGCACCACAAGAGGCTCTAAAGCATCACACGTTATACACGTGTATAAAGCATCTCCTGTACGTTTTCAAAGCTTCTTTTGTGGTAGGGACTGGCATACAAATTGCAGCAAGGCAAACCAGAGGAGCATGGGTGGGCATAAGCTTGCAGCACATCCTATGTTGCACAGTAACTGTCCAAGCACAACACTCAGCATCACCCACCTCATTAGGTATGGAAGGTCTGCCTTGTTTCTGCTTTGAGGAAAATGGCTGCAGAGTTAATGCAGCAGCATACTGAATGTATTGAGCTTCACACCTCCAACTTACTCAATAGTCATTTGCACGTATCCATAAGGAAGTACTTCTATTTCACCCAACCTTAATTCAGTATTGAAATCATCACTATACCATTAACAGATCATTATTTGCACTTATTAGGACAGAGTCCACTCTTTTTACGTCTTCAAAGACTGACAAAGTCTCCATCACCTCCTGCTGTATTTCTGGATTCATTTCAACCACACAAAGCAAACTGAAAGCAGTTACCCAGTTGTTTTTAAATGTTTTGCATGTAAACAAAGCATGACTGCCCATGGGGTGAGGCATGGGGTGAACAGGTAACTATTTGGGTAAACTCAGCTCATCTGCACAAGACTTATCAGGGTCCTACTGAAGATACTTCTTTTCAATTATCTTCATCAATTAAAGGAAAACTAAAGACTCTGCTTCTTTTTGTAGAAGCACAACAGTTCTATTTGTTTACCTGACCCAAAATAAGCTATTCTGACACAAGAGTATTCCCTGAGCCTCTTATACTGGTTAAACTAAATCAGCTAAGAACCCAGTTTAGATTATACTCATGCAAAATCCTTACACCAGAGCCAATCCAAAAAAACTTAATGTCAGTTCCAAAGCCATTGCAGTTTTTCAGCTGACTCCCAGACCTTTCAGCTACTCCCCAGGTACAGGCGCCTCAGTAACTGAGGTTACATAGAGGGCAAGCAAATTCTATCCCTGACAGCAAGGAGATCCCAACACAAATTTGAACAAGAACACAACATGCAACATTTCTTATCCTTTCAAGAGGCCCTACAGCGACTCTTCACCACACAGAAGAAAAACTAAGAAAATGTACCCTTTCCTCATAAACAAAACCCAAAACCAAACAATACTCAGCTATGTTTTCTTATCTCTGCTCACGTCAGAGGGTCATAAACTTCTCACACACAAAGCCAGTGAAGGACAGCTAGTCAAAAGCAGGAGTGCTAACATCATTTCAGGTGCAACAAATAGGTTGAGCTGACGTGTAAGACCCCCCGAAACCAAACAATTTCACTGTAGATCCTGAACCCCTGACTTCACAAGAGGTGAGGCTGCTTAAACCCACTGAGGCCATAAAGAGCACAGTGCTGTTCAGGGCTCAGCCGCTGCATTCTGAGCGTGCAGCACGCTGGCTCCACAAGGCATGGCAGCACAGACCTACAGAGCAAACAGCCCACAGGCCAGTGGGGCTACAGGCTCCTAACAGCTCAGAAGCCAGCACAGCACTACTGCATGACAGTCACTTCTGGCTTCTTCACACTTGACAGAATCCCCAACGCAAGGCACGTGACAAGAGCAAGCCTGAGGTACAGCAGCAGTGTTCACCCCCGCAGGCCAGCGCTTCCGACGTGTCATTGCTGATAAAGGGGTGCAGTATGGCATTAATGCAGAACAAACACAAAATGGTGGGGCAGCTAAACTTGCAATAAGAGATAGGATAGGATACTAAGAGCAGGAAGGGCATGAAATGCACCTTTGCTCAGCTTTCCTCTGGGCTTGGCAGGTACAGGTGAGTGAGAAACAGCTGCAGGAGTCTGTCCGTGACCCAGCAGCTCCTTTTTGGTCCTGTGCACAGAAACCCACCAGATAAATGGAAGCTCAGGAAAGGCAATTCCAGACACGTGAGCATCCCAGATGACCCTGCATGTGAGAGAAGGGATGGAAATGCAGCCACTGCACTTACCATCTAGACATGCACCATGGAGTTTGGGACAATCCCAAACATATGGAGCAGTGTCAGTGCTGCCCAATACACAAGGCAGAGAAGTAATATGCATAGTTCAGTCATCAGTGTGACTCCATCAGCTCTCTCCAGTACCTCCTGTCCATACAAGCTCTTACACGAGTTAATTTCATCCTGATAATCATGGGATAAAACCTTCCTACTGGACAGAATCACAGCATCACCATGGTTTGAAAAGACCTTCAGGATCATGAAGTCCAACCTCCC